GGTGGTGAGTGCAAGGCAGGTGCTCAATGGCTCTGGAAAAGGTCAGGACACAATGAAATCGGCTTGGCTTACAGCAGTAGGAATTTAGGTTAGATAAGAGGATGAACTTCCCACGAGTGAGAACCACTAGGCATAAGCTACGAGGCTCAGACTCCTTTCTCTGAAGGTTCAGAAAACGGGGAGGGTTGAGGTTGCCTGCCAGAGGCCATGTCTGGGCACAGGGAGGGGCGGAGGGGCGGAGGGATGGAGGGACGGAGGGACAGAGGGAAGGGCTTTGGGGGTAAAGACTGGGTAGTGTGTGGAACTGGGAGGACAGCCACGTGGGAAGAGCCTCACCTCGCACCAGGAGCCAGGCGGATGCCCTCGTGACCCCGTTGGCGTTGCTGGCTATGCACTGGTACCGCCCGCCGTCGCTGGGGACGACGGCGCTGACCTCCAGGGACAGGTCGTCCAGCTGCCTGACTCTGCCCGTGGAGGCCGGCAGGACCCGCCAGTCCCGCACCCACGTCAGGTTGTGGGGGGCCTCTCCCAGAACCCAGCAGGACAGGGTGGCCGTCTCCCCTGGGGACACGGTCACGTTGGGCGCCGGGACCAGCTGTGGCGGAGGGTCTGCAAGGACACACGCATGGGAGGTTCACCGGGGCTGACTCGGGAGGACAGCCTGCTGGTCCCCGTGGGGTCCCGATGCCAGAACCCAGCACCGTGGCCCTCAGGAGACTTCGGCCAGCAGGGAGGTTAACGGGCGTCTGCTCACCATCGGGACGGTGCCACCCGGGGAGGGCGCATTCCCTGTCGCCATCACACACACACCGAGGGCTGCGTGGCGAGTGCGCGCTCTGCTCCCGGCAGCCAACTGCGGTGTCTAACAAAAGCTACGCTTTGAGCCAATATTTGCACCCTTGGGAATAAAGCTTGGGTTTCAAACGAACCCTCAGGAGGGAAAGATTAATGAGTAAAAGCCACGCTCTGTGCAAACAGCGGGGCTATTATTACACACAAATGTAGGAAGGAGGCCTCTGCCCCAGAGACGGGAGAGCAAAGAAAACGGCCGTCTCGCCAAGAAGAAGCCACAAGAAGTGGCGAGATTAGAGACCCGCTAACCAGGGGCGTGGGCCTGAGAACCTGCAGGGGGGCCGCTAGATCCACACAGGCCACATGTGCCAATGACCACGACATCCAGGCAGGTGGAGCCTCGGGCCTCCGCAGCTGGCAGGGGCAGAAATGGAATCCTGGGGACCAGCTAGAACTGGAGGAAATATCACTCATGCTCTGTGAACCGCGATTGCTCTGTTCTGATTCAAGAAGGCACCTTCCAGCCTGGCTGGGGGTTCCACAGGGGACCTGGGGGCTCACCTCCTCCCCATCCGGGACCTGCCTGTTGTCATGGGGAGATAGCAAACCTTGTTACAGAAGCCAGAGCCGCCAGCCCTTTGAAGACCCCCAGCCTTTGCATGCCCACAGGCCTTTGCAGGTCTCCAGCCCCCATGACCTGTAAACTGCCCACTTGGCACACCCTTTGGCTACTTCCCCATGTCATCGCTGTCCTTCTACCCAATATGAGCAGCTGGCTTATGGTGGGGGGCGGAGCAGATGTCTGCCGGCAGGATTGAATAAACACTCATAATGACTCAACCCTGTCTCTGCTGGATTGGCTCACGCAGTGACAGGCAGCGCAGACCCACTGACTGTCTGGTTACAAGATGAACGCGGCCATGAATTTCTCTTTAAATAAATTCACACCAATGCATCATGCCGATGCACCCCGATATGCCAGCGTGCAGACGGGGGCACCTGTGTGTTGCGGGGGAGGCCAGCAGCAGACGCTGACTGTAGTGCATTAGACAGTGACGGGGACTTGAAAGTCGAAGCCCTGAGTTTGAGTTTAACATAGTTTAGCCGAGAGGAGAGAGAGCAGGTACGGAAAACGGGGAGCCACTGCGAACCCTCAGTAACGGGCGGACAAGTTTCCTGACGCCGTTCTACTTCTCTTTGCTCACCATCATTTAGAAAAAGCAAATTTTTGTTAATTCCCGCCCTAAGCATGTGTGCTCACATGCTCTACTGCGAGGTGATAACAGCTCGGGTTGTTGTATGTACACTATTCTCCCATTTTCGTTGAAACGCGCGCGCAGATCAAGGTCTGAAAGGAAGCAAGTCAACGCGCTCGCTCCGGAGGGCGCCTCTGGGAGGGCGCCAGGCCGCTCCACCCCGCTGCCTGTTTCCCAGTCTTCCTCCGGGAAGCCCCGCTTTGTGTAAGATCCGAGGGTGCAGAAGGCCTCGCTCTCCATGCTGTCTGGCTCCTTCCCTTCTCTTCCCGAGAGCTGGGGTTCACAGTTTAGAAAATAAAGCCAGCCAGCCGTAGCCGGTTTGCCTCTGTGCATAGAGCGTCAGCCTGCGGACTGAAGGGTCCCGGGTTCGATTCCGGTCAACAGCACATGCCCGGGTTAAGGGCTCGATCCCCAGTGGGGGACGTGCAGGAGGCAGCCAATCAATGATTCTCTCTCATCATTGATGTCTCTCTCTCTCTCTCTCTCTCTCTTCCTCTCCCTTCCTCTCTGACATCAATAAAATTTTATTTTTAAAAAATAATTTAAAAAATAAATAAAACCAATTTCCTGTTGAGATGGTCGGTGGCATTTCCAACCTTCCTGTGCTGAATGGTGCCATTCCGTGGGGATGTGGAGGCACAGATGTCGGGGCTGCAAGATGGACGGTGGCCCCGGAAAGGTCTGGGGGCCGGCAAGTCCCAAAGGCCAGACCAAGCAATCAGGGGTGGGAGGAAGGCTGGGCAGGGGGAGCGCGGCCAGAGCCGAGGTTCCCAACCTCTCTCCAACTGAGACCCGCCATCCGGGCCATCCGGGGTGAGGCAGCCCCAGCGGGGCCAGTGGGCAGCAGGCAGGGGGCAGCGGCAGCCAGACTTGGTGATGGACAGTCCCCAGCAGCTGGCTGGCACGCTCCCCCACGGACGGAGACTCCCTGGACGGAAATCCTAGAGGGAAAAGTCAGCAAGGGGGTGGGGAGGAGAGACCCAGAGGGACAGACCTGTGACGATGACCAGGGCCTGCGCCCGTCCGGTCCCAGCCCCGCTGACCGCTGTGCACTCGTACGTGCCTTCCTCGGCCTTGGAGGCCCGCGGGATCTCCCAGCTGCTGTTCCCCGACTCCCTGCGAACACACGACAGGCGGGCACACACTGTCACACTGCCCCCAGCCAGGGTCCCCCGCCTCCCCCACCCTCTGGGGCTCCGTTCCTCTGAACCCTGCCCCGGGGGGGGGGGGGGGGGGGGCAAACCCTCT